TCTCTGCCTCTTTGATACCTGAATGGCACTGAGAGGCTGAAGCATAGCTGGGAAGAAGATGCAGCCAGCACAGGGATGCTCATCAGGAAGACTTGTGCAGGCAGGACATTCTCAAGCCTTTCTCTCCAAAACATGCCATGATGCACCCTTTTGCCTTGTTGCTTCCCGGAACAGCTCCTTGTCAGTACCTTCCTCCTCCCATTGACCATACCAGCAGGTCCTGGGCCCAGCATTTTGTTTAGGAAGAGACAGTTGGTGGGTGAGAGAGGGTGTAGTCTGGAGTTTGTTTTGGTACCAATGGGCTACAAGAAAGATCCCAATAGAGCTAGTTGTCCTCTTGATGTCTGTGGTTCTCCACTGGACTACTGCCATGCCGGGAAAGGGCTGCAGCAGCTGCCAGGTCCTGCTCAGGAGGGTGAAGGTGAAGGATGAGTGGTGCCTCCTCTTTGCCGTGGCAAAGATTGGATCACGGCTGGAATAATGGAGGAGTCTGTCTGATTGTCCTGTTGTGCTGGGAGCACTGGATGTTGCTGAAGATCCCTGAGGAGGTGTGTAGATATGAACAAAGCGGAGGATACCCCACACCAAAGCATGTGTGATGTCTGCAGAGTCCATCCAGGCAGCACTCCCATCGTGCGAGGTGAAAGCAGGTGCAGCACTACCACCACTGAACCTTGCTCCTCCGACATCAGCACCAAGTAACTCCCCAGCGACTTCCTGTGGCACTGGCCAGGTGGTCTACGTCTGAGCAAGGTCTTTCTCTGGGATGCAATGCCCTTTGGTGCTCGCCTGCTGGAGCCTCTGGACCCTGCCCCCTCCGCAGAGCATCCGAGGACATTAGAGGTACAGCTGGAGAGATCTGGTGCTTTTCTGCAAACTGCAGCACGTGGTGCTGGTAACCCTGGCAGACCCTACATCAGTCCCTGCTTGTCTTGGCCAAGATGGGAACTTCTGTGTGAGCGTGCAGACAGAGACTACCAACATGTGTATTATTTATACAGCATATTCTCATATCACTTTCTCTAGATTTATTTCAAATGGATCCATGCAAAAGGCTAGCTCTCATCTGGAACTTCTGACAGTGTTTTGCTGCTGTATTATTTAACATTTTTTCAAATACCGCTGTGTGAGCAGATGGCGCTTGCAGTCTTACTGATTGGGCAGTCAGGCTTTTATCTGTAGGACTCTGTAGTAGGAGCACACAACAGCAACTATTCAGCTAGCTGGGCTACTGAGGAGTTGTCAGTGGCGACCAGCGCTGGTTGGGTTTTCTGGTTTGCTCAGCCCTCTCTTTTGGTTTATCTCAGGTTGCAAAAAGAATCTGGATCATACAAATTGACTTGTCGCCTGTAAGTGTAACAAGCAGCTGTTGTCGAGCAGCCTGGTGTACAAGTCCTTCGGAAACTGTTTGCTTCCATGGTTTCCTGTTTATTATTTGTGGCGTTTGACTGCCTGGCTGAGCTCTGTCAGTCTCTCTTTGCTCCCTCGCAAGCTTCTGCAGTGGAAGAAAGATGGTTTATTGTCCTTTGTGGATGAATGTGGGTATTCATACAAAGCATAGACTGCCCAGTCATGCACATAAATAAAAATCCATTCAAGATAATGATGATGAAAAAGGAACATAACATAAGTTAAATAGATCATCTTCTGTAAATCCAAATAACAGTGAGGTCTGTAGAATCTACTTAATTTAGGCCCTGGTCCTGCAAGCATTTACCAGTGTGTGAATACATTTATGTAGCACTGTTGACTTCTAGAGGACTGCTGGAGTTTATAATCTTAGTCCAAAGGCTATGGAATACCCAGAGTAATTTTGTTAAATCTGATCTGTTTAAATGTGTTAGTGTCTTCAGGCTGAGGTCATATGTATTTTGTATTTCATAAGAAGGAGAAGGCTATCCCAGACTGTTAACTTGCAAGTTGTGAGCGCAGGTCCCAGGGCTGCTGCAGACTGCCTGCAGTCTTGCATGTCAGCCGTAGGAAAAGGAAGGTCGTGGTAGAGAAAGTAACATTTAACTCTCATATTTCAAAGTCTTATAAGAGTGAATACTTTCAAAACTGTGAGACAATCAAGAACTAGCCGTGGCTTTTTATGTTTCCTAATTGGGGTGAACAGGGTGACTGATATTTGATAGCGCATGTAGCTTATTGTGAAGTTCAGATGTGAAACTTCTTATAAAGAAACACCTTTGGGTTTGCCCCTAGGAATAAAACTTAGAATGACCTGTTTGGCCCCATCCTCAAGCTAAAACAGCCAAAGAAAAAGGGCTTTGGAGCTAAATGACTATTTAAAAGTAGACAAGACTGAAATTTTTAGAATTTTTTTTTTTCAAATAAAAGAGATTTAGAACATACATATGTTAAATATCATGGCGACGAATGTTGATAGTAGTTTGTAAGTATACTCTTTTTTGCTACATTGGAGACTTGTAAGCTGTGGTCTCTCAGTAGACACTGAGCAGGAGAATGATGCTCATTCCTGAACCATCATTATTGTTGAACTGACTGAAATTTGAAAGTCCAGATCTCTCTTTAGGGGTTAGTCTCATGCTGTATCATGTACGTGTGTGTTATCAGAATTCACATTTGGGCTGATTCCATGCCAGTGAAAAATAATGTATAGCTGAGTCACAATGGAATCCTGGATACAATGAATAACAAGACAAGAACTTGAAGGGAAAGAATGAGAATGGGAAGTCTAATTTTCAGTTTTTCTATATATAGAAAATACTTCAAGGGTAAGCACATACTCTTTTGTATAAATATATTTAAAATGTGTTTTGTAGGCACATATTTTCAGTGTGTTGTCATGATCGGAAACACATGTAGGCTCTGAAAAATTATGTGAAGCATGCAGAGCCCTTGCCCATGCGCATAAGTAAAAGCTATGCGCAGTGTATACATGTGTAAATATTTAGCTGGGATAACAGCCGCATGAGAACTACTTCAGAACAATCCCCAAGTCAGGAAGCAACAAATTATAGGTCTGAAGTATACCACACTGGCATGTCTACGTAAATAAAACCAACTGGGAAGACAGGAGGGAGGAAAAATGCATTTACAAATAGTATTAGATTAGAGAAGAGGAAAAATGCTAAACCCTTTTCTTGGCTCTAATCAGAAGGCAGGAAGATTATTACACACAGGAGCCTGCATACTTCAGCTGAACAACTTCCTGACTCTGAGTTCGAGTCTTTATATTTATTTACGTGTACACATACAATCAAGGCTTTACACATAATCATTATTTTGACAGACGCCAAGAGGAGGATTTGTTTTTCCCCTTTCCAGGAACAGTGCCATCATCTTACTACCTCTTTATCTTTGCCAGGTCTTTGGGGTGGGATGATGTCATCTTCTTTATCTACCTAGTATCTACCATGATGAGGCCTTGATCCTGACCCAGGGTGTTGGATGTTTCATGAATTTTGAATTGGAAGCAGCCATAGGAAACCTGAATTTCTATTGCAGATGGCAACACTTCAGCTAGAGTAAATACAACTGATACTTGTAAAACCACTGAGACAACTGCTAGTTGTCACAAGGCCTTATACAGGCATTGGTACGTCAGTCCTCTTCCAGTCCTCCCACCCTTAGCCTACGCCTGAGCAAACTCCCAGAGCTTCTCTCCCCACTCAGCTGTCACACTTGGAACTCAAACTTGCCTGCAGCCGGGCTGCTGGAGGCATGGAAGAAGTAGCTGCCCGGAATGATCTTTGGAGATCCAGGTGTTCCTGGAGCTGGAGGAAGGACTGCAGGTAAACTACAATCCTTTGAACTGAAGAGTAGGAAAAGGGGATGTCACTAGGTCTGAAGAGAGAAAGCAAGCCGTATGTGTTTGTCTGGAGTTGTCTTTTCCTTCTGTCTCTCCGAAGTGAATTGCTGAGCAGAGGTGTAGCTGTATCTGATGTGGAGCATCCCCACGTGGTAGAGAAAGTCCGGCGCTCACCTCATCTCCCGGTCAGGTCTGGGAGGTCTGTAGCATGACTGGCGATCACTGCCCTTCCTCATGCAGACTTCTTGGGGCTTTGGAATGTCGTCTGCTTCACCGGCTTGGAGAATGTAAGGGAAGAGGAGGAGAAGGGAAAGCATTATGTAAGTCGGGGAAACTCCCTCATTATTTAGCAATGTCTGAAACTTTTAAATGGGGAGTTGTGGGGGGAAGCAAGCATTTTCTTGAGACAGTGTGTTGTGAAACTAGAATTGAACACACAGGTTCAACTCCATCACCTGCCTTTTCTGGAAAGGAAATAAGAGGAGCTTATGCTCTGAGTACCTGGAAGCTGAACGCTTGGAGTAGGGAACTCTCTTGCTCCAGAAGAAGAATCGGTAGGTTTAGAAGGTTTAGTTCTATCCTTAGGCTCTGCTGTCAGAGATCGTAAATGTACACTGCATATAACCCTAAGGAAAATGACTGTCAAGAATGTGTTGGCATTAACGCTGTGACATGGCAGCTCCTGAGAACTGGAGCGCTGGTAGCTCCTGGACGAGAGGCATTTCTGTGAGCGAGTGCCTCCTGTTCTTGCACTGAGAGCTGACTTCTGTGTCACTGTAGCTATGGCACTGTCATCAGCTTTATTAACTTAAAATCATGACAGTTTGGTAAGCAATTAGTAGCCTTTGCTTCTTTTTAGTTCCTCTGTTTGAAAGGTTAACTGCTGCTATTAATGAGGTAGACTGATCTAGGCTGGTGTCCAACAGCAAATACTTGTTTTGGGTGGTACCTGGGGGCTGCAGTCCCCACGGTTCCCTGTAGTGTTTAGTGGATTTATGTCTGCTCTTCATAATGCTTCCATCTGCGGAAGAGAACAGCCATCGCTTTCCTTGGGTGATTTGGGGAGCTGAGACAGAGGTAAGCCAAGTTTGCTCAGCACTGCAAAGCAAATGTGGGAGTGGAAAGCCCTGGAGTTGTGAAATAGTGCTCTTCTATAGCTGGACTATCTTCCCTGCTGGCAATCTCTTAACTATTCAGTTGCTGTGGATCCTTCAGTAGTACGCAGTAGTGGTCTCTACTAGTTATTTAGTTCTTGAAATGACCTCTGCTTGATGGGGTTCCTGTGCCTGCAGAGGATTTGTCGGAATCCTATTTAAGGAAGAACACTAAAAACTTAAGTCTGCAAATTAGCACTGAGAAAAACATCTGGTTGGATATTTCTCTGTCCAGAATGACTTTTGATTTTCTGCTGAGATTTTTAGTCACCACTTTGACCTGTTTGGAGTGATTCCACTTTCTTTTTGCAGTAACAGAAGTGGTCAGGGTCCAACACTTATTTCTGTTCAATTCTCCTTGATTAGAATGCGCACAGTTACAGAATCACAGAATCACAGAATAGTAGGGGTTGGGAGGGACCTCTGTGGGTCATCTAGTCCAACCTTCCTGCCGAAGCAGGGTCACCTACAGCAGGCTGCACAGAACCTTGTCCAGGCGGGTCTTGAATATCTCCAGAGAAGGAGACTCCACAACCTCCCTGGGCAGCCTGTTCCAGTGCTCCGTCACCCTCAGAGGGAAGAAGTTCTTCCTCATGTTCAGACGGAACTTCCTGTGCCTCAGTTTGTGCCCATTGCCCCTTGTCCTGTCACTGGGCACCACTGAAAAGAGCTTGGCCCCATCCTCCTGACACCCACCCTTCAGATATTTATAAGCATTTATTAGGTCCCCTCGCAGCCTTCTCTTATTCAGGCTGAACAAGCCCAGTTCCAGTAGCTCTTCATTTTTCTTGAACTGGGGAGCCCAGAACTGGACACAGTACTCCAGATTTATTCTCCTTATTGAAGAAGGGGGAAGTAAATGGTTTGAGCTGTGGTATGGAAAAGGTGTGTAAAAAGAGGCTCAATGTTTGTGGTTTGCAGCGTTTCCACTGCCCACTCTATTAGTGTGTGAGTAGAGCGTGGTCTCTTTGGCGACAAGGTACATGTACTGTTGTCACCTTCTGCAGCAGAAGGCTGAGTAGACAGCTGCAGGAGGGGGAGTCTCTGCTGTGCTGTAATTACTGAAACAAAGATGTTATCTTTTACAGATTTTGGTAGAGTCTCTGGCTTATATGTGACACTTCGCTCAAACTTCCTTCTGGCGTATTTCCCAAGAATTTTTAGCAGTGTGTAATGGTCCTTCTGGATTTCCCTGTATGTGATAAGGCAGGACTGGCAAAGAACACTTAAATTTTTGATGTGACTGCCATCCATGGGATTAAAAATTGGTTATGACTAGTGCTTTCCTGAATACCTTGTATAACTGTAATCTCTAACATTTTACACAACTGAATGCTGTTCCAGCGTAACCAGCTTCTACTGTGCTTTGATCAGATGGAGCTGATGGAGTCATGCACAGAAACCAGATGTCTTGTTAGACTCTCCTTATCTCACCTAAGAGCATAAGAGGTCCAAGGGATCCTCCCACTGAAACCTGAGCTTTCCAGAGGATGAGCTCTGCATTCATGCATAGGTCCCTGATTCCCTCTCTCCTGGAAGAGGTCACTCCACCAGCTGTCGTGTTCTCTTTAAACCAGCACTTCATCCAGCTGTAACACGGTGGCTGGACCAGTAAATGTGTTGCTGATATAAATCTACTGTGGTCCAGTGAGTAGTTAATAGTTAAATACTCTATATGGCTGGTGGAGGCTGGGTCATGCGCTGGTTCCAATTTTTCATGTGGGGTTAGGCTGTAGAGAGATCTTGAACCACTTCAGTTGAGTGTTTCTGGCAGACAGCTTAAGGGATGGAATAGAAAAGTTTTGTAAATACACTGCTGTACAAATGTATGCTTAATGTGTGCCTGCATATGTGGTATTTATTAAGCAAATAAGTAGCTTGCATAGTAGAATAGGTGAGCAGCTGTTCTGCATATGGCTGGGGCACGGTGCTGCTTCCCAGCAGAGCCAGGCCCCTGCCTTCTGCTGCCAGGTGCCACCATCCCCTGCCTTCTCCTGCCAGATGCCAGCATCCCCAGGGCAGGGGAGGGCAGCAGCAACATCCCCAGGGCAGTGCAGCAGCAGCAGTGCCCTGCTACCCGCTGCGGCCTCCCAGGCTCCCTGTGGCCATGCTGGAGCTGCATGGGGAGTAGTGCCCCAAGCCCCGCCTCTGGAGTGAAGCTGTTGCTGATGTTGTTATTATTATTATTATTAATCTTTCTGCCAGATGCCAGCATCCCCAGGGCAGGGGAGGGCAGCAGCAACATCCCCAGGGCAGGGCAGCAGCAGCAGTGCCCTGCTACCCGCTGCGGCCTCCCAGGCTCCCTGTGGCCATGCTGGAGCTGCATGGGGAGTAGTGCCCCAAGCCCCGCCTCTGGAGTGAAGCTGTTGCTGATGTTGTTATTATTATTATTATTAATCTTTCATCTCAGGATTTCTGAGAAAGCGAACATCAGTACTTAATCTATAGGGATTTTCTTTCTGAGGGTGGACAAAAGCTCTCAGTTATAAAGATTGTTCAGTAGGAAGTGCTTGTTAAGAAGAAAGAAAACATCCTGGACAAAATTTTAATTCATAATGTCAGTAACAAAAAAGGTAGTGGTTAGGGGGAATGCCAAAAAAAGCATCAAATCTCTCATCTTCATTAGGTTAACCAAGGGTAGCTCTATTACTGTCAATACCGTAAACGACTCCTTTCTGAAATGATTAATAAGGCAAATCAAAAGATAAGAGCTTTCAGGGAAGCCTGGGAAATGCACAGCAGGCTGGTATAAGATGTAAGAACCAATTTTCATTAGGAACCACAATGATTTCAAATTCAGCATCAATCTGGTAGTTAAGAAACTAAATAAGGTAACTTTAAAAAGTAGACCTAAATAATATGAGAAATTGTGCTGAGAGAAAAATAAGAGGAGAAGCTAAAAGGATAAGCTGTTTGAAATGGCATCAAGACTGTTGAGACATGCCATTATTAGAAACTAAGAATAAAGGTTTATCAAGAAACATTTAAAAAGTACTACTAATAAAATGAAAAATATGCTATGTGTAAACAGCGAAGTACAAGTCTATTTGAAATAAAAAGATGTCTTGCAAAAAATGGAAGTCATAAGAAATAAAATAGAAAAGACGTTAAGTTCTTGTAAATAAAGTTGTCAGTCTTTTTGGTTTGATTACTGAAGTCATAAAAAATGAACTGGGGAGGGGGACACACAAAAATCCTTTCAGATCATTAGAAACAAAAAAGAGAGAGAGATTTTGATACTGTTTCAGTTGTAAAAGAAGTAAGAAAACATGACAAGACCATAAGAGTGTTAAGTGGTCGCTTGTACTGAATGTTTCCAGAGGAGAGCCTTTTTGTGATAAAAAAAATCTAGGGAACTGTCTCAAACTGAAATACTACAGGAACATATTTTAAAACAAAGAAGTAAAAAAGGCTGATAGATCATTAGGACTTGGCAGTGTTCATGCAGAATTCCAAAGCAACTGGGAAAAGGAAATGCAAAATTGTGTACTATGGCAGGGAATTTATTAACTGAATTAGTTACAGGGTACCAAAGGAACAGAGTGGCAAATTGATAACCAGATGTATTCACGTGTATCAGGGGGAGTAATCCTAACTTCGGTGTTTTTGGGGTAAAGATAATGTTCTTCACAAACCCAGAGTTCTTTGGATTCGTGAACCAATCAAAACCAAAAATGCTGATAGAGGATGTGATGCTGTAAGTGGATTAATTCAGATCAGGAGTGCACTTCTGAAGCAGATCTCCTGATTATCCCCAATTTTCTTGCAGTGATTCACACAACAGACTGCTCTTACATTATATGAAATGAATATGCTTTAAATAAAATTAAATCAGATGTGCTCCAGGAATGCACTGCTGATCAGTCCACGAGACTAGATTATGGCTGTGCCTTGGCACCACCTATTTTACTCTACAAATTCGTTGGTGATGGACTATTGTACTACTTTCCTATGTATCATAGAATAGTCTGGGTTGGAAGAGACCTTTAAATGTCGTCTAGTTCACCCCTTCCTGTAATGAGCAGGGACACCTTCCACTAGACCAGCCTGCTCAAAGCCCCATCCAACCTGGCCTTGAACACCTCCAGGGAGGGAGCAGCCACAACTTCCCCAGGCAAACTGTTCA